GATCCGAACAAGATTCGACCCGTGGACAAAACCCGCGTGCTTTAACCTGCATATTTACTTCCAAAAACCAACACAATCTATATTGAACACAATTACCCCTTCTTTCACAATTGTATTACAATTAACTCGTAAAAGAAAAATAATAAACATGAGATTGTAAAATATTTATTATTTTCAACATCCTCCTCAATCGAAATATTTATTATTTTTCTTTTCCGAAAACATCAATAAGACCCATTTTATTTGACAAAAAACCATGTTATTTAACATTTAAAGATTTAGTAAGAATGTCATCATTTTGACCATAAGAATTTATTTTAACTAGTTTTAATAATCCATTAGAATTTTTTTCTCTAACAAAATGGAGATCAATTTCAAAATGCTTTGTCCTTTCACGGAAACAGGATTAAGAGCTAACTTAATTGTTGATTCATTATCACAAAAAACAGAAACAGGAGTAAAACCTTTAATATCCAACTCAAATAAGACTTTTCAAAATCCAAATTATTTCACATGTAACAGAGCCAAGAGCTCTATACTCAGATTCAGTAGAAGATCTAGAAACAGTAGACTGTTTCTTACTCTTCCAAGATATCAAGGAATTATTAAAATAAACCATATAACCTATTACAGACTTTCTTGTAGTCAGGCACTTAGCCCAATCTGCATCAACAAACCCTTTCAGCTCAAAAACAATTGACTTAGTTTATTAAACTCATTTTCCAAGACTACTTTTCAAATACCTCAATAATATAAAAGCAACTTTCAAATGAGATTTTATGGGTTTGTGCATAAATTGACTAAGAACCTGAACATCATAGGAAATATAAGGTCTAGTAACAGTAAGATATACGAGTTTACCAATAAGCCTTTGGTGACATGAATAAAATTTGCCCCCACTAATGGTTCATATGCAAGAATCATCTATGACCAACATAAGACATCTTGTTGGTGACATGAATGGAAGATGTGTCTGCGTTACAAGTAGGGCATGCTAAATAACCTTGACCGCTCCATCCAGACAAACTTCCACGCGCTGGAAAATCATTGATAGTCCATAACAACATCGCACGCATGTTGAATACGATATTGGTTGATGCATCTCTCATTTGGACTCCTTCGGCCCACAACATTTTCAACTCATCCACCAAAGGCCTCAAGAAAACATCAATGTCCTTTGAGGGTGATTTAGGGCCAGGAATCAGCAAAGTTAGCATGAAAGAAGACTCTTTCATACATATCCATGGTGGTGTATTGTAGGTAGTTAATATAATCGGCCAAGTACTATAAGTACTATTAAAGTTGCCGAATGGATTGAAGCCATCAGCAGCCAAACCTAGACGAACATTTCTAGGTTCTTTAGCAAACTCTGGATATCTTTGATCAAAATCTTGCCATGACTTCCCATCAACCGGATGATACATCATATCATCTATTGAGCGTCCAGTATTATGCCAACCAGGTCCGACTCTATGTAGAGATTTTTTAAGGTAGGGCTTAGGGCCCCCAATTCTAAGGAGACCTATATTCTCCAAAGTCCAAAGGTTTAGTCCATTAAAAAATTCAATCCGGTAACCACAAAATAAATTAAGCAGAAAAATAAATCAACGATCGCTGCACTCATGAAACTGAAACGACTTTGCATTCTTCTACCAATTCTGATTTCTGCGAAATATTAATCTCATCTGTTTTCGATTTTCGAGTATAGTAAAGGCCAAAGGGCCCGAAAATTTTGGCTCGCTTAGAGCCACCAAAATGATTGAGCCGCCCATGATGCCAACTCATATCTTTGGCTGTGAATCTGGAGCTGTACATTCGTCGAAGTCTTGGAGTCAAAGGAAAGTACCGCAACACTTTTTGTGGTACTTTCTTCCCCTTTGTAGTTGTGTCCACCCATCTACTCTCTTTACAAATCGGGCAATTCTGCATGGAACTGTTCTCCTTCCAAAACAAAGCACAATCATTTTTGCAAGCGTGGATCGATTGATATCCTAACCCTATCTTTCTCAACTTCTTTTTAGCTTCATAGTGTCAAGCTGAAATCTTGCTCTTCGGGAAAGCAGCTCTTAGTAACTCTACAAGTTGGTCAAACGAACTATTTGTCCATCTATTGATCACTTTAATATGCAACAACTTTGAAAAAAAGTTTAAGGCATACATATCGCTACATTCAAGGTATAACTTGGTATTGAGCTCCTCAAACAAATCATCAAATTTCGGGTCTATACATCGTCCCTCCTCGTCTATATTTTCTTCATTTGTATTTTGTTCCGCCATAACATCATCAATTACATCAAACATCTCATTACTTGTGGGCGTGTTTGTTCTTGGAGTCGGATTGTAGCTTAAATCCGAAGAACCGACATGTTTCTCACCGTGATGAATCCACGTAGTATATGTTTTGAGAAACCCAATGTCATGTAAGTGGGCATAAACCGTAGGTAAAACATGTCGATACGAATTCACACACGTTTTACACGGGCAGCACACTTTGCCTTTAGAATTGACATGTTTCTCAACAATCTTCATAAAAATTTTAAGACCTTCCAAGTATTTTGAAGACATTTGGTTCTCTCTAATCCAACTCTTATCGATCGTCATTGTTGTTTCATTATTAAAAATTATATTATATATATAGTTATCGAAAGTTAGATTGTATTTGGGCTAGATAAATAAATATATACCCGAGAACGGATAAAGTATTCACAAGTATATAAAAAATATATACTCGAGAAGTAAAAATCAGACAGATTGGATAGAGTTGTAATGACCAACATTAAGTCACTAATTTGATTTTAAAACTAATTTAATTTGATTTTATAATTAATTTGATTTTATTTTAAAATTAATATTAATTTGATTTTACAATTAATTTAATATTTTCTTTTTTATTGATTTTTTTAAAATTAATTCAACTTTATTTTATAATTAATTTTAAATTACTAAAAGTATGTTGTTATTAATAACCTAATTAAGCTAAAGTTGTAACGACCAACATTAAGTCACTAACGAAATTAAGCACGTTGAAACCATATTAAGCACTTTCATACCTCAAAATGCACTTTCTTTATATACACTCAAACTATTAAACCTAAATATCACATAATCATACATATACACAATACATCCAATTCCAATTTTCATTTCATTTTAGACATACAATACAAATGTATACATCTAAATACAAAATCAAACATCATACAAAAACAAAATTAAACATACAATTCCAATTTTCATCTAATTTCATACAATCAAACATACAATTCCAATTTTCATCCAATTTCAAAATCAAACATATAATTCCAATTTTCATCCAATTTCAAACATACATTCAATTTCATACAATCATACCACAATGAGCATAAACAAATCATGCCTATATAACTTCATTTTCATTTTCATGCCAAAACACACTTTCATTCCTCAAAATGCATATATATATTATATATATATATATATATATATATATATATATATATATATATATATATTATATATATATATATATATATATATATATAAGCAATTAACCAAAAAAATCTAAGAAAGTATATATATCATGGTGTATTGAAGGAACAAGAAAAAACAAAGAACTGAAGCATTCACGTTTCCTTAAGCAGGGAAAAAAATCAAAAACCAACCTTAAAATCGGCGGTGAAGATAGGTATATCACCAGAAATCGTTTTCTATGGTGGTGGTCACCGTTTTTGTCCGGCCGGCGGCAATGTTTTAGGGCTCCAAAACCGGAAACAAATCCCCCAAAATCGGAGTAAAAACTCAAGCTCTTACTAATTAAGAAGAAATCAAGGACCAAGACCTTACCTTTTAGCTGGCCGATGAAGTGGAACGCCGAAAACTGTCTGGGATCGCCGAAGCTTGAGAGGAAAATGGAAGGGGCAGCCGACTGGAAAATGAAGACTGAAAGCGTCTTTGTTACAGCGAAACCCTATAGAGACGACATGTCGTCTCTATACGTAAATGAAAACGGCGTCGTTCCACTTCACGTCATTAAAATATAAAATAAAATAAAAAATGGTTTTCACGCGGATCGGTCTCACCTTTTCCAGACGACATGTCGTCTGGATAGCGTGACCAAAACGACATCGTATTCCATTTCTGCAAGACGGATAAAAAATAAATCGAAATTAATTTTTTAAGCACCCTATACCGACGACATGTCGTCTACATAGGCTGACCAAAACGGCATCGTATTGCTTTTCTGCGACAAAGAATTAAAATAAATCGAAAATATTTTTTTAATTCCTCCTCCCGACGACATGTCGGTATAGAAATTCGATATACCGCCAATATTTTGCCCCTTCCCGCCGAGCCTATGCAGACGACTTGTCGTCTGTATAGCTTTTCTGGTCAAAGACATATGGTCAATGTTTGAAAACGCTGTCCAGACGACCTGTCGTCTCTATAGATCGACTTTTGCCGACGACACTGGATAGGTGTCGTCTGCAAAGGTTAGATCCTTGTAGTGTTTATTTTCAACATATCGGCATTTTACTCTTGTTTTGTTTTGTAGTAACTAAAGTCTCGTTTGTTTCCACAAGTTAATTTCTATGCTGATGTGGATGTGGTCCACATTTTAATTTTAGTATATATCTACAAGATTTTAATTACATTGCATCTACAAGCGTTACTATAACTGCAAAGAATTTTTCGTACTTTGGGGCCACATCCATGAGGCTATTTTAGCAACCTCACATTTTTTTCCACACACTTTCTGGTTTGGAATGGACCTCGATCAATTCCATATGATAGGAAATGTTTATTAGGTTGACGGGTCAAAGGGTTCAAATCAGTCAAAGGTTGCAACATCGTTTTATTATTCCTACACTCTAGTCAATATACAGTCAAGTGTATAGAAAGAACTTTTCTATCTATATATAGCAGAAATATAAAGGCTTGATCATTTACTTTGATTCCTTTTTATTGGGCTGATTCATTCTTCTCCAGCATAAACTGCAGCATCTCACTTTCACCTCTATAATATGGCCTTCATCTTACTTATCTTCCTAAGACTATTCTTTCTTTTAATAACTCAAGGATCTCAATTCACCTCCCATAATATCACCTTAGGTTCCTCATTGAACCCATACTCAAACCCTGCATGGCTCTCGCCTTCAGGCCTTTTTGCATTTGGTTTCTACGTGGAAGATAATGGTTTTAGGGTCGGAATATGGCTCAAAACCAAACCCGAAATCATAGTTGTTTGGACTGCAAACCGTGATGACCCACTTGTCTCCTCAAACAGTTCCATTAAGCTCCTTACAAATGGTTGGTTGCTTCTCCACACTAATGGCGAAGATAAAAATATCACAAATCAGAGGGTTCCCGCAACCTCTGCTTCCATGCTTGATTCGGGTAACTTCCTACTCTATGATGACTCTGGTGCTGCTATATGGGAAAGCTTTGAACACCCTTGTGATACAGTATTAGGAGGACAAGAACTAGCCACATATGATCAGCTAGTTTCTAGTGTATCCCCTTCCCATCACATGAGTGGAAACTTCGTTCTCAATATGCAAAATAATGGAAACCTTGTGGCTTACCCTCTATATGCTGGTTCCAGGCTCGATGATGACTCATACTGGTCCACTACATCCTCCGACCTCGGTGGCTATGTGTCCATGTATCTCAACCATACTGGCTCTTTGAATATGGTGAAGGATGGTGTGACACAGAGGGTATTAAATCCAGTTATACTGAGCTCAGGTTCGAGGAAGAGATCAAATGAAATAGTAATCTTTCGTGCTACTCTCAGATGGAATGGTAACTTTGTTTTGTATTCCCACAGATTCATAAGTAACTCGACTAGAATGATCATGAAGAAGGAATGGGAAGCATTACATGACCCATGTGAGGCCAAAGGTATATGTGGTTCTAACAGTTACTGTGTTAGCAATGGTGGCAATTTTAGTTGCCATTGCTTTCCTGGTTTCTTAGCTTTCAACGAGACAAGAAATGGTAACTTTTACAGCTGTTATAGGAACTTTACCGATGAAGAAGCCTGCAACGGGAAATGGGAAGGGCTAAAACTTTCTTATAATATTACTTCATTGGAGAATATAAAGTTGCGAGATCACTACTCTTACTCTGTAATGAATCTTAGCAAGGAAGCTTGTCGTCAATCTTGCTTGGATGATTGCAATTGTTGGGCAAGTCTGCATGCAAATGGTTTTAGTTGCAAAATGCTCAAGGTTCCGATCATTTATGCAGTGCGTAATAAAAGCATATTAGCCACAGTCTTTATAAAAACCAGTTTCCCATATGATCCTTCTGAATACCCCTTGAGAACCGAAACCAAAAAACTTGTTTACATTCTAGCCATTACACTTGGCTGCCTAGCTTTTATGTGTACTATGATGGCATTCTTTTCTTTCTTTTTCTATAGAGTGCATGCTCATAATAGCTTCCAAAGTATATCGGAAAATACTGATTTAGACGTTCTTCGAGATCAATTTAGGCTACGAGCATTCTCATACGACGATCTTCATAAAGCCACAGATGGTTTTAAAGAAATGATAGGAAGAAATTCTTACAAAGGGTTTATTTCCGAGGGCAAGAAGGCTGTTTTTGTGAAGAGACTGGAAAGGTTGTTTGAAGGAGAAGGGTGGTTTCGAGAAGAAATAACTGCTATTGCACAAACCCATCATCGGAACTTGGTTGGCTTACTGGGTTTCTGCATACAGGGATCTACAAAGTTACTTGTGTACGAGTTTATGATCAATGGTTCACTGGAAGATCTTCTCTTCAACGCTGAAACACCACCTGGTTGGGAAGAACGTGTGAGAGTGACGCTGGATGTAGCGAGAGGAATCTTGTATCTTCATGAAGAGTGTGAGGCTCCTATAATACATTGCAATATAACGCCTAATAATATTCTTTTTGACGAGTTTTGGACTGCTAAGATCTCTGATTTTGGGTTATCAAAGCTATTGAGGTCAAATCAGAGGGGAAGTAAGGTGGATATCTACAGCTTTGGGGTTGTGCTTTTGAAGATTTTGTGTTGCAGAAATGATATGGAGATAGACGTTCTTACTTCTTGGGTTTACAATTGTTTTGTAAATAAAGATTGGAATAGGTTGGTTGAAGATGACAAAGTAGATGTCTGGATGTTGGAGAAGATGGTGAAAGTTGGATTGTTGTGCATTCAAAATGAACCAGATGCAAGGCCTTCGATCAAAAATGTTATCTTGATGTTGGAAGGAACTACTGATATACCGATACCTCCGTCACCAACTCCTCCTTTGATTTAGCTTTGATTAATTGTTATCTTTAATTTAGTTATTATTTGAAACATATATAGCATGTTGTCTCCATTCTTTTATGCAATAAATATTTTGTTGGAAACTTATATAAAACTTGTACTCTGATACAATTACAATTACAACTTGTATAGACTGGAATAAATTAATTAAAAAAAAAATGAAATCCCTCATAAATCCGTAGTTAGTTTCCAAGGGATTTATTTCTGTCGCTATCGGTCACAGTTTCGATGCCAAATTATGGTTTTTCTTATCTTGGTTGGCTTATTTCCGTAGGTTATTTCCTAGTGCGTGTTATATACACTTAAAAAAAATATAAAATATCTTGCATAAATTAACATTATAGCTTTTCATACTTTTTACCCAAGAAGTTTCCACCTTGAGACTCAAGTCCATTGTCTCTTCTGGCAAACAATTTCTTCAAACCTGAAACCTGGGTAATTGGGTTGGTGTTTGAATCACCACACAAACGAAATTAAACCTTAGCCATCCAGTGTTGAACACGCTTGGATGTCCACTTTTTACATATGATGCCAATTAATCAGTCTTTTGGCATAAGGAAGAATTAGAGATAAAGACAGAGACTTTTAGAACGACTCATTATTCTCCGGTGAATACCTAGTCTACCACAAAAGCTGAAGTCATGCAAATTTGAATTTACTTGATTTATTAAAAAGAGTGAGAGACCATTCTATGGCCTGTATAGACTCAATAAATGGTGAAAATTGGCACCACATTTCTTTTCACCTATTCAAAATCAGTTCTTTAAACCTGTGTTGAGAGCTTATTCAATTCATAAGCTTTTCATTTTCTGCTTTATTACTAGAGTATATTCATAAGCTTCTCATAAACTAATTTTCAGTATCTCATCGCCACAACCTGTGATCATATATGGCCTCACTATTGCTTGCTTTTCTAATTCTCCAATTCGTCCAGACCAATTGCAATTTCGATGGAGGATCCATTGAATTGGGAGCTTCATTTGTCGCTGATGCGCAATCTACCACCAATCCATGGTACTCCCATTCTAAAATGTTTGCATTTGGATTTCACCCACAAGGCAGTAGCTATGTGGTTGCAATCTGGTTAGTGAACGCCGGAGAAACCACCGTTGTGTGGACTGCTTATCGAGATGATCCACCTGTATCACCAAATACCACACTCAAACTTACCCATCAAGGGGAATTGGTTCTAAGCTCCAAACAGGGTCTCGTTAATAAGATCATTGCATCCAACGTTTCATATGCTGTGATGAATGACAACGGCAATTTTATATTGTACAATGATCAAATGGGTGTAGTATGGCAGAGTTTCGACTATCCTACTGATTCCATGTTACTAGGCCAGAGACTCTTTGGTGGGCAGCAATTGGTTTCAAGTGTCTCTAAAACCAATTACTCTAGTGGACGTTTCCGTATCAAGATGCAGATCGATGGTAATCTTGTTATGTATCCGAAAAACACAGAGGATGATTATGCAAGTGCTTACTGGTCTTCAGGTACCTTTGAGCACAAGACTTCAAGGAACTACCTGTACTTAAATGACACCGGATTACTGCTTATCAATGGCAGTAATTCAGACGCCATCAAGTATTTCTATACTACACTGAATTATCCTGTTATATATCGTGCGACACTTGGTGATGACGGAATCTTTCGGCTATATTTTTACAATGATAGTAACTCCTCCCCCATCATAGTATGGAAAAAGACAGATTGTCCTTGTAGTGTGAAGAACATCTGCGGATTGAACTGCTACTGCGCTTTGAATCATGATCAACCCGATTGTGTTTGCTTGCCGGGTTCTGATTTTGTAGAGCTCGATTTCAAGCATAGGGGCTGCGAAAGGAATTTTACAAAAGCAATGTGCAAAAGCGGGAAAGAAAACGATACATATTATCATATGGTTTCGGAAGAGGGATTACTGTGTGAAGATTATCCTTACTATCGGGCTATTACTCACTTCAAAGAGGAATGTAGGGATTCATGTTTGAAGGATTGCGATTGTGATGCAGCTTTTTTCAAAAACTCTTTCTGCGAAAGACACAAGTTCCCACTGAGGTACGTTAAAAGAGTTTACGATGAGCCTACTACGTATATGAGTTTCTTCAAGACAATCAGAGTAAACCTAAATGCTACTTCAGTGGATAAGGAGATGATGACTTCAAGCAGCAACAAGGCATGGCTTCTAGTTCTTGTTATAAGCCTTGTTTTTTCCATCTATTCATGCATTTCGCTAAGTTTTACAGGATATTTCGTATTCAAATTCCGTCTTTTTAAGTACAGAAGATTATTGGAAAGTAGAAGTTTGGGCTTAGCTGAGGACCTCATCCTGCAATCATATAGTTACAAGGAGCTTAAAAAGGCTACTCATGGGTTCAAACAAGAGTTGGGAAGAGGGTCGTTTGGAAGAGTCTATAAAGGGAGTTTCGACAAGGCTAGTAAAGTGATAGCAGTGAAAAGACTTGAGAAGATGGTGGAAGAAGGGGAAAAAGAATTCCGAGCTGAAATGCAAGTGATCGGAAAAACCCATCACAGGAATCTAGTCCGTCTGCTCGGTTATTGTGCAGAAGGTAAAGAGAGGCTTCTTGTTTATGAATACATGAGCAATGGAACCCTTGCTGATCGCTTATTTAGGTCAGAAACGCTTCCAAACTGGTCTGAAAGGGTGCAAATCGCGTTAGATGTGGCAAGAGGAATCCTCTACCTTCATGAAGAATGCAAAACACCCATCATTCATTGCGACATAAAGCCCCAAAACATCCTCATGGATGATTTCTGGACTGCTAAAATCTCCGACTTTGGATTGGCCAAACTTCTGATGCCAGATCAAACCAAGACTTTCACCATGGTTCGAGGGACTAGAGGGTATAGTATACTACTAAATATCTAAATCTAAGATTCATGCCATCCATCCAACTATTTCTTGAAACTGATATATATCACCATGCATTCATGTGTTTTTTAGGTATTTGGCACCAGAGTGGCAGAAAAACACCCCGATATCAGTGAAGGTCGATATCTTCAGCTATGGGATCGTGTTGTTGGAAACCATTTGTTGCAGAAAGAACCTGGATGTACAAGTATCCAATATGGAAGAGATAGTTCTTTCTACTTGGGCTTACAAGTGCTTTGAAAGAGGGCAATTGGATCTGCTTGTCGGTGATGAAGAAGTGGATATGGCGACACTGGAAAGGTTGGTTAAAGTCGGACTTTGGTGTATCCACGATGAGCCTGCTTTTCGTCCTTCTATGAAGTCTGTGGTGCTGATGTTAGAAGGGATCACAGAAATTGCTACTCCTCCTTGTCCAATTTCCGTTTGGTAATTCTTGCTTCCGCATGTTGATGATTTCGCTTTGTTCTTTTTGAAACTTTATCAAGTATAAACCTCTCAAAATGGTTGCAAGATTATTGGTTTAACCATGTATCCTCTTTGTTTGTAGATCGGTTAAACTAAGGCTGATGTGTTCAAGTTGCCTGTATTTGAGACATCGGAAGAATGCATTAAGACTGAAGACTAAACCATTAAGGTTAATTTGAAGTTCTTGATCAAGTATGCTGCTTCAACGGTCAAAACCCATCTTCTGCTTGATAGAAGGTAAAGAAAGTGAACTTTTTAAACCAAGTAAATACGTATGTTAATTTGAGTGTATAAATTCTACTTATAACACTTGGTTCTGTAATAACGTGTGTTTAAAAATGCCAATTTTTAAACACATATTGTATAAACACATAACGTGTATTTAAAGCTTACAAATATTTTTGGCTCATTTTGTGCCGGTCACCAACTACATGGCTTGATTTACCTCAAAGCACTAAAAATGCCAATTTTGTTTTAATTACATTTGTGTGTTAGTTTAACATATCCTCTCTAATAAATAAAAATAATTGTCATTTTGTTATCCTCTTCTGTATTATGTCACATGTCATTTTGTGGTAATTTAGATTAAGTTATAGAAATATATACATTAAAGTCTCAATATTTTCATCGATTTAACAAAAAAGTCTTAAACTTTATTTTTTTGACAGTAAAATCCAAATTACCCGTAGTTTTTGACATTTTTACCCTTTTTTCCGGTTAGCCGGTAATTAAGACTTTTTTTTCAAAAAAATAAAGTTTAGGACTTTTTTGTCAAATCGTCAATTAAGACTTTTATGTCAAAAAAATAAAGTTTAGGATGTTTCTTGTCAAATCGTTGAAAATATTGGGACTTTAGTGTATATATCTTTTTTTTGTTAGAAATTTTATGGTATGATACTCTTTAAGCATAAGAGTTATTGAAATCTTCTCTAGTCAGCTAGATCCTATTGAAATCATTAACGTTTGCTTCTTGTTAAATCGTTTTTTTAATCTCAACAAACCGACATTGAAAAAAAATGGAGATAATCAAGAAAGAAAGAACCAGGGTTGTGTTGGCTTTTTGCAGTCCTAAAAATAGAGAAATAAGAAACCGAGAAAAACGAAATTGCCTTTCTTTCCCTTCTCCATATTCACACCTTTTTTACTAGGCATGTGTTATTTGTGTTTGTATAATATGTCTCCACTGTAAGAATTGGGGTATAGAAAATGCTTGGAAATTCTGAGAATTATGGTTTTCACTTTCAGATTAAAGTATTTGGGTAGTACTCCTAATCTTTAATCGGATAAGACTCAGAATTGAGAAAACTTTATTTTTTTTTACAGTAAAGTCCAAATTACCCGTAGTTTTTGACACTTTTACCCTTTTTCCGGTTAGCTGGTAATTAGGACTTTTTTTTGTCAAAAAAAATAAAGTTTAGGACTTTCTTGTCAAATCGTCAATTAGGACTTTTATGTCAAAAAAATAAAGTTTAGGAGTTTCTTGTCAAATCGTTGAAAATATTGGGACTTTAGTGTATATATCCCTTTTTTGGTTAGAAATTTAATGGTCTGATACTCTTTAAGCATAAGAGTTATTGAAACCTTCTCTAGTAAGCTAGATCCTATTGAAATCCTTAACGTTTGCTTCTTGTTAAATCGTTTTTTTAATCTCAACAAACCGACATTGAAAAAAATGGAGATAATCAAGAAAGAAAGAACCAGGGTTGTGTTGGCTTTTTGCAGTCCTAAAAATGGAGAAATAAGAAACTGAAAAAAACGAAATTGCCCTTCTTTCCCTTCTCCATATTCACACTTTTTTTACTAGGCATGTGTTATTTGTGTTTGTATAATATGTCTCCACTGTAAGAATTGGGGTATAGAAAATGCTTGGAAATTCTGAGAATTATGGTTTTCACTTTCAGATTAAAGTATTTGGGTGGTACTCCCAATCTTTAATCGGATAAGACTCAGAATTGAGAAAACAGAAGAGAGAATGTTCAAGATGTTATGAAGAAGAAGTATACCAACAACAGATTTCGGATATGATCATATAACCAGAAAAACTTTCAGTCTTAAAACTGCCACATGACAGTTTTATGTCCTAAAGTCAAAACGTCATAAACTAACTTAAATTCGGGTCTAGAATATGGATCACAAAACCGGGTACATTTACCAAAAATCTGGATTTTGATCCCAACCAGGGGCTCTGCCCCTTGGACCCCGCTCCCAGGGGCGCTGCCCCCAGACCCCCGTCGGTTCAGGGGCTTCGCCCCTAAATAGCAGTATACTTTCAACAAAGACAAAATTAAACAAATGTGCACTCCGCACCATACCGATTTGTTCAATAATTGTCAATGTGATATTGATCAACAAATTAACCCCATTACACTTAAATAACATTAGTGATATAAAATCACCAACAAACCTCCTCCATTTAAGTGTAATCTTGATTAACTTAACATTAAAATCATAACAACAACAAACTGGTGCATAAATGAAATATCGTGACGATTGAATTTCATATTAGTATATTACTCATTCCAAATATTCGAATATTAGGGTGTCACTAAGGATTGAACCCTTTCTATTCTAAGTGAATACATGAAGACAATATACACAATAGTTTACATTCTCAAAGTTCTAACTTGACACTATATTTTACTAGCTTGTGTCCCATCCTTCAATAAGTATATCAAAGCCAAGTCCTAACTTCTTGAAGCAGCAAAATTTCATGCTTATATAGGTAGTCCTTTTATTCTTGCACCTGCAAATGCAATTTTTCAAAAGAACTATTAAGAATATAAATTCAACCTCCTTAACTTGCAGTACTGAACACATACCTTGGGATGATGATAATAATGTGTTCCAATCTTCAAATATCAAGCTTTCCACATTGAATTCAACATCTAATATTACATTAGATGGGAATTGGGTATCTCAATATAAAAGATTTTAAGTGGACTTTAAAACCATCCCTACAGCTGCCTTGTGCACAAGATCTCTTGCTAACCCATTGGTTAGATGATCGGCTAAATTCAACTGAGTTCTTACAAACTCCACAGATATCACACCAGTCATGATGACTCACGAATCATGATATGTCTAACACCTAAATGTCTATACTTTCCATTGTACACTTGACTATAAGCCTTAGCCAAGGTTGCAGCACTATCACATCTGATAGAAATGGTAGATATCGGTTTGGGCCATAATGGAATTTTATAAATCAAATTTATTAGCCACTCAGCTTTTTTACCAGCAACAGACAATGCAACAAACTCAGACTCCATGGTTGAGTTAGTAATACAAGTCTGTTTCTTAGATGCCCAAGAAATGACACCTCCTCCAAAAAGAAACACCCAACCACTTGTAGAAGAGTGATCCTCTAAGTTGTTAATCCAGCTGGCATCTGAATAACCTTCTAAAACAGAAGGATATCCACTATAAGTTAAACCATAATTCATGGTCCCTTTCAAATACTTGAATACTCTACTCACAGCTTGCCAATGATGTGAACTAGGATTACTAGTATATCTACTAAGCCTTCCCACATCATATGCTATATCAGGCCTAGTACTAATCATGACATACATTAGACAACCAATAGCCCTTGAGTATTCAAGTTGAGACACTGGAGATCCTTTATTAGGTAGAAGCTTAAGACTAGGATCTATAGGAGTGCTAACAGGAGAACAATTCTCAAAGTTAAACTTCTTCAATATCTTCTCAATGTAATGAGATTGAGAAATTGAAATCCCATTGTTACCTTTTCTAATTCTTATACCAAGAATTACTTCAGCCTCCCCCATGTCTTTCATGTCAAAACTAGATGATAATAATTTCTTGGTTTTATCAACTTCACCTTGATCAGTACCAAAGATTAACATATCATCAACATATAGACAAATTATAACTCCTTCACCAGAAGAATCAAATTTTCTATATACACATTTGTCAGTTTGGTCTAATGCAAAACCATTAGACAATATCACATCATCAAACTTTTGATGCCATTGTTTTGGTGCTTGTTTCAAACCATATAAGGATTTCTTCAACTTACACACCTTATGTTCATTACCAGGCATCACAAACCCTTCAGGTTGTTTCATGTAAATTTCCTCATCTAAGTCACCATTCAAGAATGCAGTTTTCACATCCATTTGGTGGATCACAAGATTATGTATAACTGCAAGAGCTAACAATAATCTAATTGTGGAAATTCTAGCAACAGGATCATAAGTATCAAAAAAGTCAATGCCTTATTTTTGCCTAAAGCCTTGAATAACCAATCTGGCTTTATATTTATCAATTATGCCATCCACCTTCATTTTCCTTTTGAGGATCCACTTACTTCCCAATGCCTTGCAACCAGGAGGTAAATCAGACAATACCCAAGTATTGTTATGCATGATAGAATCAATTTCATCCTGAATTGCTTCTTCCCTAGAAGCCATAGCTTCATTAAAAGTCTTTGGATCCTCCTCAATATTAAAAGAATATTGATGTTGACGTATAGTCTCATTACTTGTTCCTTCAACCAGATACAGTTGAAAATCAGATCCAAAAAACTTAACTTTTATAGCTCTTGTGCCTTTCCTAGGTTCAGGTACAGAACTTGCACCACCAGAAACATCTTTAGCTTGAGTAGTACTCTTGTTGGAAGATTGATGAATCATGTCCCTTGGTCTAGGTATAGATGTAAATCTTTCTTCATCAAAGATAGCATCTCTTGACTCTATCACTGTGTTTACAGACACAGAATCATTAGATTCTAAAATATAGAATATATATGCTTTGGAATGCTCAGCATATCCAATAAAGATACAATCTACACCTCTCTCACCCAATGTTTTCCTTTTAGGTTCAGTGAGCCTTACAACTGCTCTACAGCCCCATACTTTGAGATAACTCAAATTTGGTACCTTTTTACACCAAAGTTCATAAGGAGTATTCTTACTCCTTTTATTTGGAGTTCTGTTCAAGATGTAACATGCAGTTAACATTGCCTCACCCCAAAACCCTTCACTTAATCCAGAATAGGACAACATGGAATTAACCATTTCTTTCAAAGTCCTATTCTTCCTTTCAACTACACCATTTTGTTGTGGTGGA